TTTTCATAGTAAGAAAACACTAAGCGGGAGATTGCGCAGTAGCCGAACTGTTGCCGAAAAAAAGCCGAACTGTGTCGAAGAAAAGCTGAACTTTAAATCTTGTGCCGAATAGTTAAATGAATGGAATATCCGAAGGCCGAATTATGAAGCCCAGGAAAGGAAAAGGGAAGGGCCAAACCCAAACCACCCAGTACTAACTAAACTGTCTAAAATAAGTTACGTCGAATCAGCTGAATCAGCCGAATATAAACCGAATGTAGACCGAACGTTTGCCGAATTAAGGTTCATCCAGAGCCCTAGCTATTTACCCGCCCTACCCTACCCACAAAGAACTGCACTAACCAATACCAGAAAGAGGAACCTGCGTCTTTCGTTGCCAAGGTGATGCTGAAGATCTGGGCCACTAGTTTATCGAAGCTTTAAAGGGTTGCACTGGAATGGACTGCTACCTCGGGACATGAGACTGATCGTTTGACGACGTGAAGAGGAACTTACCTGGAAAAGAATACAGAAGCATATAAAAAAACTAAGAGATAATTTCGCCCAAGTCTTGTTCTTCATCGGCACAATTTCTTTCAAAGTATTCCTCATATACGAGCCGAAATATTGTCAGAATGTATTCATAATTTGATACGGCATACATGGAAATCTTTCCCAAGTTCACAGCATGCTGTTTGAGCGTTTTACCAACACATTTAAAATTCAAAGGAAACACACATTGCTATAAAAATAATGGAAAAATAGAGGCTAAGTTTTGTGCAGGCGCTTATGATTTTAGACCGGTTATTTTAATTTGTATATTCTATCACACATTCCTTCTACTCGAATTTTACGCTTTTTAGCTTTTGCAGAATTGTCCAAGGTACACGTAAAAACTCCGTGGGACAAAATACTCTAACAAGCAGTGAAATAACAGGCAAAAGATAGACCAGCAAATTAATTACGGTCAAATGCACATGTACCCGATATGAGTGTCGGGAAACTATACGTTCACAGCTTAAGCAACGACGACGACGACGCAGAAGACGACGCCTAAATGAATTTATATTTTACCAGCGAAATTCGCGATTGTCTAGATCTGTTCAGGCTAAAAATGCAATGACAGCGTTCAATTCCATATGGAAATACGAAAATTAGCCGTCGTCGTCCACGTTCAGTAGAAGACGCAGAACTTGGTCATTTTACGTTCTTGTTTTGTAGAGGACGACAAAGAAATGTACAAAGATTTATAACGTACGTACACAGCTATTGTCTTGCTCATTAAAGGACACAGTCAGCTGGTGCACATGCGCATTAGATACCATTTCATAGCTAATTTGCAAATCACAGAGACGCAATCCATACTATTATTAACCAAATATGATAAATAATATCATAGGATGAGCAAACAGGTTTTTCAGTAAACGATTGAAAATCAAGCAAAGCACTGCAAAGAGTGAAGCGGATTTCTAGATGTACTTTGATTTCAGGTTGAGGTGAACTTTTTTCAAAGTGAGGAAACTAGTGTCCAGGTCAGCGCAGTCCTAAAGCTGACTGTGTCCTTTTAAACCTTTTGTTTGGTGACGTTCTCGTTTCCGTCGTCGTCGTGGTTTGCTTAAGCTCCCTACTAGTGTCAGTTCATGACGTTTGACTAAACTACGATCCATTTTGTCGTTGCCTTCAGCAATTCCTTCAATCGCTACCTCTGAATTGAAAAGGGTAAAGAAAACTAACTCAGTAAGAGTTTGTCGAGTACATCTGTTGTTATGGCTGAAATTGCTGGTTCAATGACTAAATCGACTCTCTCAGAATCACACAATTTGGTTCTTCTAAATTGAAACTAAAATACTATCTTACCTACAGAATCATTGTCAGCTAACAGTGCTTCTAATGGTTAAAGTTAAAAATATTATGTACAACCTTGCAGATACAACAACCTTTGGTCTGTCGAGATCGCACAAACTTTGGGTGTTTCAGGCTTCGGAAACTACGCCAGCTTCTCCGTTCCTTCTCATGTACAATTTGAATAACTAATTCAAGTTGCGCGTTAATGTGTTACTGCACGTTTCGGACCAAAAGAAGAAATGTGATTGGTTCACGCTACTAAAGCTGCACGAGATTTCGGTGTTATAGTGTGTCATTGTTTATTTAAACAAATAAAGAAGCCTAACCCGTGCATTACATTGTGATGAAACACGACGGGCATTTGAGAACACGAAGGTTCTTTATGATATAGAGATAATGTGGTGAAAAACAATAAAACACGCTTTTTCTATGTTTTATGCTCTGATAAAACATGGGTTTTTGACCAATCAGAGCGCGCGCAGGGTCCTCTGTATATTATAAATGCTAATTACAATATGTTTCTTTAACAAGGAAAAATAGTTTTCATTGACAAAAAGGCACGTTTCTTGCCACTAAAAGAAACTTTGACCATAATCGCTTACATTCTCGTACAAAAGAAAAAAATTTGATATGACAGGATTTATGAAATTCGATATACCATTTCAATGAAAAATGCTTTCCTTTGCACCAAATGACCTACAAATTTTGCTTTCACGATCCCTCAAGGCCTCGAAATCGCTTTAAGCGGTGAAACAGCACATTTTAGATTTACTTGGTGAAATTTACAACATGGATCCAAGATGTGATCGAAGAACGCAACAGGACAAATAGCAGATTACATGTCTACGAATGAAGTTTGGGTAGAAAGCGATTACAAACCTAGTAGTTTCTTTCATTTCGTTTCTTATACAAGTTCGTATGACGTAACATAAAGCCAAAGGTGGGAAAATCCCCACGATTTGCATAATTGATGTTAATATAAGTTCTATGACGTAAAAACAAAGCAAAATGCGGGGGAATCCCTTCTTCTAATAACCAGGCGCTTTGGCACGCGCATAGGGTGTGCGGTAAAGAGGTCATCGATAATGGGGGCAATTCTTTTAGTGAATTTATGTCCGGAAAAGTAACCAAACCATCATAAACGAATTTGAACACAGGATTTGGGTCAAAAACCCCCAAAAAACCCCTCAAAAATGAGTATAAAAATACACTGAAACATGCTTAACCTATGCGTCGAGAGGTCTCTCGAATTGGGAAAGAGAATTATTATATATTTTTATCCTTAACAAGTCCTTAGTTCTTGAATTTTATTTAGACGTCCTTGGACACACTCGACATCCTTGTCATCAGATGTACTTGGTCCGAGATATAGCAGTAGTTCGTTGTCTGACATTATAGTTGCTTCAGCAGGAGCGCTCGGTTTCGATTGTTCACGAATCTCTTCAGCGGCTGTTTGAGGCTTGACAACTTTAAATTTAATGTCACTTAGGGAAAGGTAGAGAAGTTTCTCAATTCCGTTCCCGCTCGAATAGTAGTTGGAATGGGCAGCTGTGCACATGGATGTAAGTCGGGGAAAAAAGTAAGATTCGATTTTTTTTTTTTTTTTTTTTTNGCCCGGGAAGGTAAAAAAGGAAAACAATCACCGAAGGAAGAAAAGCCAGTAAGGCAGGCAGAACAAAACCGGCCCTCCTGGGCAAAATTTTGCTCTCCAGATTGCATCGTCGTTTGAACCGTAAAATTTTATTGATGTTCATCAGTGGATTAGCGCCGTGTAGAAGTTGGTTGGGGTCAGTGTTTGCGGTGGCTTAACAGTCCCATTTGCAGATACAGATACGCCCGCAGTTCTGTGGGATAAAATTTGCCTTGCATAAGGTTGTTGGAATATTCAACGTACAGTAGCCGACTCCCTTACCATAACATGATAATGTCTTCTGCAGTATCAACGTACAAGCACTTCTGTAACAAAGAATTTTTGGTTGGCAGGCCAAAGCAATTGTGGCAAAAAAAAAATGCATTATGCAAAAATACCGCATATGTTAAATGTAATAAAATCTTGAATTCTTGGCTGGTACCGTTACGTCATCACAACCATAGGAAGGAGGGAAGGGCTTGGGACCGATTGTGTAAAAATGCGATTTTAATCCTCCAAGAAAAAAACAAAACAAAACAAAAAAACAAAAAAAAGACAGCGACTGGTACATTTACCGATCCTGTAATTCTAAGAGCACAAAAACCTCAAAAAGCACAATGTCTTTGGCACAGGAACAAAAATTACTGAATTATGGCTTTCCTTGTGACTATATCGTGGTAAAATGTTCAGATGCCATCTGAATTTTTTCTTATGGAGGATTACCAAAGACTGAAATGTGACAGCTCACTGGCTGCTGTAAAATCGTCATCAAACAACATCAAGCAGTCATTGTAATTACTCGGCTAATTTTAATGAAAGTTATATGTTTATAAAGGAGTTTTTTTGGCAAAAGTAGTGAAAATGCATATGTGACCAAAAAAAAAACAGTCATCAAGCGACATGCTTGAAAACTGTATCAACCTAAGACTAGATTTCCAACTTAAACTTTAAAACCCAGCCGTCAAAATAATCCGTGGGAAAACCAGCTTAATTCTGAAACTGAGTGAGGTGGACTTCAAAAACTGAAATCTGAAAACCGACATCTGGCAAAATCAGTGGTCGCAGAAACCAAAATCTAAAACCTCATGGCGAAAGAATAGAAATGTCGAAAGTGGATTTGGAAAATGAAATTTAAACGTCAAATGCCAATATCTGTCAAGACCTATCACTATCGAAGAGTTAGAAATCCCGAAAATAGAATAAAGACTAAATTCTTTGATTAAGCGGCGAAGTTCTAAATTTCATTTGTCGGTAGAACACCGATTTCTTAGCCTAGAGTAGAAAACAAGAAAATGCCTCATTGTGGTAAGTCATATTAACTAGATTTTACATATTAGCAATGCTATTCACATACATTAATATGTAGTAAACACATGGAAAGGAAATCTCATGCACAACAAATGCCATTTCATTTCGGAACGAACACGGAAAGTTCGCATAACAAACTTTACAGAAATAAAAACGAATTAGCGATAACTTACAAGAAAACGGAATATTTAGACAATTTTGTCGAGAGTCTAATAGCATTTTAGGGTAGGAGATAATTTTGTTCTTAATATACTTTTTTCGATTGAAGTTACCCAGAACGCCCGAAGACTAGTTTTCGCCAACTCTTAATTCTTTGAATTATTTTGGTTTTGACAGGTCGCGTTAAGCAGAACCTGATAGTCCTTATCAAGGTTTTTGGAAGCCACCTTACGGGTAGGTAACGGTGTCAGAAATTACAGCGTTTGTACGAGAATCGATATCCGATGGCGAATAGTTTTCTTAAAAATTGAATTCTGAGCAATGCATGAAAAGCAAAGTTAAGATGCTAGCAAAGGATCACATTGTCCAAATCTGAGGGATTTTCTTGTACCAAAAAGCGCCCAGTCGCTTTTTAATCTTTCATACATTCGTCTATGACTTTCCGCGAACTTATATGCAGCTTACAAGTTCGCACCACTTAAGACTATTTTCCTAAAAGTAATTTGTTTCCAGATGTCAGACTCCGCCATCCTGCTTGGTAAACACATTACTGTTTTTAAGTAATTAAAATTTGATACACTTCTTGCATTCTCTTTCCTTGTCGTCTAAGTTACCACCCGCATTCACTTTAGTATATATGAATCGATTATTTGCAGGTTTAGTATCTGGGAAAAGTTCAGCCAAGAAGTTCAGGAGCTGTCGTTTGGGTTTGAAAACCTGTAAGTAAGCTGTAATTTGAATAGAATAAAATTGATTGAAACATTTAAAAATATATATGGCGAAAGCACATATCTGACACTGAATGCATCACATTTCTGCTAGGCTGCAAAGAAACAAAGATCGCTTTGCTCACTCCAGGAAAGAGACTTCAAAGAAACGAAGACAACAGAAATACACCATTGCAAGTAAGGCAAGGTTAGTTTCTTTCAAATAATTAATATAGTCAGAAGTTTATAATAAAATTCTGATATAGTATAATACAGGCCTTCTAATAATGTCGCCTCAGCCGTCCCCCTCCTTCACTAAACCAACTTAAAGGCTTAACTAAGGAAGTGCGTAGATGCTACTGTCGTTTTTCGAAGACCCTGCTTCGAAATGGACATTTGCATACGCTTCTCATGAAACTGCGGAACAGTTTAACCTTCCCCAGCAAAAATTAAATAAAAGGAACGATTTGTTGTTTACCTCTTGAGCATTTTGCTCCCTCCTAACTTGTTGGGTGCCCCTGTTCTGACTCTAACTCGATACAAAGAAAAGCATTCGGGCATCAGGGTGTCACGCGCGATAAACGTTAAAAAAGTTATCGTGATAGACGCATGAATTAAGATGGATGCTACCTCCCGTGTCCACTGATTAGCAGATATTTATAATCATGGTCCCGTGTACACTACGTCGGAGAAATTTGAAAACTCAACAATCACCACGAGTCATTTTGGATTTGTGTCACATCATTTTTGTGGTTTTATCACTTTCGAAAAGCTCAGTTTTCAAAATGTTTTCCGTCCACACTAAATCGCAAAGGCGGCGTTTTCAAATTCCTCCAGTTTGAAGATCGTTTTCGAGAAGCTCAGTTTTCAAAATGTTTTCCGTCCACACTAAATCGCAAAGGCGGCGTTTTCAAATTCCTCCAGTTTGACGATCGTTTTCGAAAAGCTCCGTTTTCGATTGGTGTGGAACGGTAGGCCTAACCGTAGAAATGAAGCTGCTTTTTGTAAATTTCTCCGCGTAGCGCGGACGGGGCCTAAGAAAGAGGATAGCTCGCGTATTCACTGATAAGCAGATATTTGTGTGGGTGATTGATCATGACCAAACGTGAGGTTAATGTATATAGTTTTATTGACATGGAATATTTTACTTGCAGGTTCGTTATCTTGTTAAAGCACACTGGGGAAGTCCAGAAAGCGTGACTTTTGATCAAACCTGTAAGTAACCTGTAATTATAGTTGATATAACTAGTAACAAGATATTATCAAATTATTATTAGAAATTTTGAGCCTGCACTGGAAAAGCAGAAATCTATAGGACTAGAAACTGAAAGACGTGACCTGAAGGCTGAAGACTGAGATGCTGTGCAGCTCTGAAATATTATGACAAATTTTGGAAATTATTGTTCACTGCTCAGGGGCAAAATTATAAATTCATAGTGGCAAAAGAAACGCTGATTTTTTAGTTTAGATTTTTTTAGTTTACAAAGAAACTGTCTATGGCATTAAGTCATATGTTAACTATTGTTAATAACATTAGTCATTTTAGTGTGCTAACCTGATTCATTGATTCACAAGCATACACAGCTGCGTCAGCTGTACAATGTCATGTTGAACTTTGCACTAGAATCGAAAGTCACGAAAAGCGCCTATACAGTCTTTTTCTCTTTTGATGGACACCGTGTAGCACCAGTCGATTGTTCGCTCGTGTTTAAAGTTCTGCGGGGGCTATTTAATGCTGTTAACCCAAAAATCTTTAGAGACTTTTGAGTAGAATAAAACAGTAGCACGTGGGATAAAGAAGATTGTTAGTATTTCATTTTATGTAGCCAGGATTGCAAGCTAATTAGTCAAACTTGAGGCATTGTACTATACGACAAGCAGAATTGCCGTGCATAGTTTTGACGTAAAACCCCATACGTACAGAACCAATGGGGGCCAAAATTCCTGAAGTATGATTTGTTGTAATCACTTTGGACTCAACCTTACATATCAGTCTTTTTCATAACTTACAACCTGGAGAAATAGAAAGTGATCATATCAAAACTTCATCATGCTCAATTCAACCTATATATGAAGAATTCAATAGAATGAAATGCCGAACTTGATCGGAGAGTCCATTGAAGAATTGTAAACGGTGAGTAAAACTGGAATTATAATTGATTGAATTAGTGGCACGACAGTATCAAAACTTCATCATAAATTTAAATCTATATATGAAAAATTGAGATAAATGAAATTCGGAGTCCGAAATCCAAAAAAAATTGTAGTACGAAACCGAAATATATTGTCTAAATTCTAGAAAAATGTTGACAGTCGACGAAGAACTAATTACAATTAAATTCCACTCTTTTTCTTAAACAAACATTGAGCGCTTAGCTTTGATCACTACAGAGGTAAGGCTTTAGATTTTTAACTTCAAAGAAAACAAAATGCGAAAATTGGCATTATAACTTCACTCTATAATAACGTCAGCAATATATGCTCGTGTATGCCACTCTGAAGTTTGGGCAGTCAATCGTGTAGTTTTTAAAATATATATTGTTGAATTGTGCGCTTTGGAACTGAAGGTTTAGGGAAGAGACTAGAAGGTGTTGTGCCCTTGTCCAATGGAACCATGGAAAATTGATGGATTACTGAGAAAGTAAAATCGTTTGTTCGTGACAGTTGAAAAACAGCCCATATCAGACTCCAGTCTTCAAATCTGTTTATCAGTGCAATTCATCGCTGTTTGTTTTGTTCAGTCATTCAATGACTCCACTATCAGCCGCCAAAAAATTAGCCAAAAAAAACACGTTTTGTGGAGCATTTTAGTGAGATACTTTCTGTTTAACGACACAAAGATCAACGGAACACGTTTTTGATGGCCTCATGTTGAAGACATTGCTGACAAAAGCGAAGTAAAGTGAGGTAAAATGTAAAATCCAGCGATTGTCAAAAACATGGATTTAAGATTTTCATTCATTCAGTTAATTTTGAAAAAGGAGTAAAAGCAAGAAATTGCCCAGGGCTAGTTAAAACGTTGGGTGTTTTCATTATCAGGTCTACAGAGTTAAAATCGTTCTATACTAGCGATATCACCATCTTTTTTCTCTCTCCTCATGTAGAATACGACCATTTTACCTTCAACTCCAAATTACTCTATCTCTAGCTACAATCTTTGCTTCTCTTTCGGTTCTAATTGTATTTATAAAAACAAGCAGTTCATTTCCTTTTTCAATATTTCTCCACCAAGTCTCTCTTGGCCGTTCCCTGCTACGCTTGTTTTTGTACTGGTGCCCATGTTAGAGCAATCTTAATCTTTTAGTCTGTTGACATCTCTAAAACATTACCTAACTATTGCCATCGCCTGTTTCTTACCTCTTCGGCGTCGATTGTCCTTCGTCAAATCTTTCTCTTATTTTTTGATAACTGAACTTCATCAGCAAGTAATCTTTCAGGATTTTATCTCAGCAATTATGCTAGGAGACGCTGACCTTGCTTTAATCCTCTTTGGTCATCCCCGTGACTCGGCAACATAGAGTTAAACAGAAACTTCATTGCTCATGAATATTATTTCCTTTTTCTGTATTTCAGCCAAGCAGGCTGCTTCCACATACTCTTCTCGACTTGTTATGGCCACTCCTGCTTGTCCTTTTTAAGCTGTTATAGCAATTTCTCTGCGACCCTGTTTGTCCACTTTCGCCTGAGTTATTCAAACTTCTTCTCCAGTACGCCGTCCATTTTTCTTTCCCCGACCCTCAATGGGTCCATTTTAAAGTTGTAGTTTTCCTTTGTTCTTCTCTTGCATTGGCATGAAGCCATCTTCTAGACAAAAGAACTAAATAATTGACAAAATCGCGATCGTCGATGTTTATTATCAATTTCTATCTGATACCAACCCTGTTGTTCTCCACTGTTCTCTTCATTACCCAGTCGATAATAAGAGAAACCTGGAACAGCACAGCCATGCTTTACCCTTGATAACATTTCAGACTACCCTAACGGAAAGGTCCCATCCATGCATCACAGCGCATTGGTTAACTTCACCGTTTAATTCAACTTGGGTTGAAATTTTGATCCACAATTATAACTCCTTAACAAGCAGGATAGTGCCTCTGATGCCTCCGTGAATACTATCGAAAGCTTTCTCAAACTCCATAAAATGCAACTATAGACCTAAATTCCACTAAATTAACATGTCCGTGATATATACTGCGGAACTCAAATATGTGTGCATAGTGGTACTTCTCCACTTCTATATCGAGCGTGCTCGGCTCTCAGCAGCTGATTGAGGTCATCTCGTATAGTTGTAATGATCACTCATCATTCTGTTCAATAAATTAGCTTTACTGCTGTTGACATACGAGTTAGTCCTTTCCAGTTTTAGCCTACTGTTAGGTGACCTATCGCACGTAATTTAATGATCTCACCTCTTTTTTGTATGGCGCAATCTCTCAGCTTTCTCTGTTGATCCTACACGTTTTGGGATACCTCATGTGTACTAGTACCGTGTACTAGTACCGTAGCGATTCTGAATACATCTGCTTTAAGCATTTCCACAGCAATGGAGTCTATTTCTCCTACTCTTCCTTTTTTTACATCACTATTCTCCTCCAATTTAATCTCCTCTTTTGTGATTTTACTGGTCCGGCATAATCTGGTTGGTATTTCTTGTCCGATGACAACTTCATTTATCCCAATTCTTAAAACTGTTCCCTGCTTATCTTTCTTATCTCATCGTCTTTTATTCATGTTTCTTGGCAGCCTTCCCTCAATTTTTCACCGTTTCCAAGTTTTTTTATCTTCCGTTACCGAGTTTTTTTCCTCTTCTATTACCTAGGTTTCTGGGACATCTGACTTCATAGGAAGTATTTGTAATCTTTTATCCGGGATGGTTTGGTAAACGTATCTTCTCCTTAATATTCGTCTTGTCATGGCACTTCTTTCCCAGTCCTGCAGATGGTTTGATCTCGATCTTCTTCTTTAGTTTCCTACTCTCTTTCATTTTCATAGCTATTTATCCTGATCTTTGTTTTTCACTTTTTTTAGCTTCGCTTTTCCTCTTCCCGTAACTCAACGTCCTTTCTGCTGTTTCATTAAAATCCTCTTTGAAGTTGTCTTAGCTTTATTCTAAGTTGTTGCGGTCAAAGAGCCGTCAGAATTGTGTGGCTCATCTTTCCGAAGGCAAACAGACCCGTTTCTTGGCTCTTCTATAAACCAACTCTACTCTGCTCTCTGGATTCCTCAGTGTGTCAACACAGTATCTCTNACTTTAGTATATATGAATCGATTATTTGCAGGTTTAGTATCTGGGAAAAGTTCAGCCAAGAAGTTCAGGAGCTGTCGTTTGGGTTTGAAAACCTGTAAGTAAGCTGTAATTTGAATAGAATAAAATTGATTGAAACATTTAAAAATATATATGGCGAAAGCACATATCTGACACTGAATGCATCACATTTCTGCTAGGCTGCAAAGAAACAAAGATCGCTTTGCTCACTCCAGGAAAGAGACTTCAAAGAAACGAAGACAACAGAAATACACCATTGCAAGTAAGGCAAGGTTAGTTTCTTTCAAATAATTAATATAGTCAGAAGTTTATAATAAAATTCTGATATAGTATAATACAGGCCTTCTA